GAAAGATCTCCCATCAAAGTTCGTCGGCCTCAAGACCCCCCTCGAATGGCCCATCCGGTACGGTCCTGAAGGCCCTTTAACGCTGCACACATAAACCTCGTGTTTGCGCAGACCTTCCCAACACTGCTCTATTTTCAGCCCTTCTGAGTATTATTATGCACTTGTTGGATGAATGACACATCTGGAAAAATTGGGGCTGTAATGTCATTCATTTTAGAAAACATAATGAGCTCTACAGGACTTGAATTATGTATCTGTTTTGTTCATTTGTGCAGATTGACTCTAAGTAATTATTTATCCCTCCAAATTCAACTTTACAGTCAAGCTGATGGTGCATCCTCATAATCCCAGTACTCTGGGAGATTGAGGCCAAACAATTTCAAGTTCAAATACAGCCCAGGCAACACAGCGACGTAACAAAACGCTGTCTCAACAAGAGGTGGGGATATAGCTCAGGGTAAAGATCTTGGGGTTCAATCTCCAGAACACACAAAAATTTTGACTGCACCGATACTAAGCTACTTTATGAAGCACAGGTCTAACCAGCAGATGTTCAATGAGCCATATATGTACAACTCTGTGAAGCAGCTTTATCCGCTGGAAGAAGAAAAGCCACCAGCTCTCTGGAAGGCTGAAGAAGAAGGAAAAAAGCGCTTGAGCCCAGCATGGGTAACTTAGCAATTTAGCAAAGATCTTGCCTTAAAATAAAAACATTTAAAAAAGGGCTGGGGGGGGGCAGGGAAATGGCACAGTAGAATAAGCGCTTCCCTGGCAAGCGCAAAGGTGTGAGTTCAATCCCCAGTTCCAGGGGGAGAAAAAAGTGCTGGGGACACAGTTGCACGTGAAGGCCCTCTATCAATCAGTTCAGCCATCTCACTCATCTCTGGGCTTTGGGATCCTCTTAGGGGAAAATGGATGACCTTTTGATTTCCTTTTGTTTAGTGGTTTGGGTTTGGTCTGGTTTGGTTGTTTAGACAGGACTTGGGGAGCCTGCCCATTAGCTCAGTTGTTTAAGTACCTGCTTAAGCAAAGCAGTCAGGCTCAGGATACTGTGGTTTGATCCCTACCCCAGATCCTCATGCCTTACCAGAGCTGCCCTTAAGGCATCCTGAGCCAGCACACCCCTCCCCTAAAAAAAACAAAATCCATCTCAACTTTTAAGGAGCTGGAGAGATAGCTCAGTAGAATCAGCACTTGCCTGGCAAGTGCAGGGTCCTGAGTTCAATCCCCAGGCCCCTCCCACCCCTCCCCCCAAAAAAAGACAAGGTTTTACTATATACCTTCAAGCTGGTCTGGAGCACACAATTATCTAGGCTGGCCTTGAAATCAAGGCAATCCTCCTGCCTCAGCCTACTGCATGTTGAGATTATAGGCCTGAGGCACCATGCTCAGCTTGCAATTTTTTGAAGCAAATGCACATGTCCTATCAACTCAGAGATTCCCAAAGATGATCAAATTTTTTCAAAAAATGTCATTTGTATACATTAATGCCTTCTTTCCATCCTAAAAACCCACAAAACAGTTGCAGTCCAGCTCTCCATAGCCTGCCAGAGGCCAGTAGTAGTTGATAAAATGTGTCACCCACTCAAAGGCTCAGAGCAATTACAATCTGCACTAACTGGCAGTTCCCGGACATCAGCAGCAACTCTGCAACACAATTACTCCACTTCCCTCTACCTCCCTGAATTGTCCCAGGAAAAGCCACCTGAGTGAAGGTACTGAAGAATTAACCAAGCACATAAATAAAAAACAAAAACTCACACTATACATCAATTTAAACATGTAAAGACAAATTATAGGCGAGAAGACAAATGGACACTGCATACATTAATGAGCTTAAATTCTTGAACTCAAATCTAGTACAACATAAAATTTAACAAAAAATAAATTTATTTTTCTCCTTGATTCAATAGCTTTATGCAACAGCATTCCCCTTCCATGCAGAAAACTATACTTCTATCACCAAGAACAATGAATATGCATGAGTATTTTACATAGTAAGTATTCAATAAATACATCTTGAATTAATGAATAAATTTCCCTTGTCTAATGATGTCTGCTATGAATTTTAAAGATCCTAAAAAGAAAGAAGAAGGGGGCAGCGCTGGATCTGTCTGATTTCACTTGGTAAGAATCCAATACACCATCTTTACTGGTGCTTTAAAATGACTATCTTGACCTTGGCTAGTTTCTCCAATAGAATTTTTTATTATTATAAGCACTCCTTGAAAACTGAATCATGGGGTCAGGCATGGTGGTGCACTCCTGTAATCCCAGCACTCAGGAAGCTGAGGCAGGAGGATCCCTTTGAGCTGCTGGCCAGCCTCAGCTACAAAGTGAGTTGAAGGTCAGCCTGCACTGCATAGCAAGAACCTGTCTCAAAACAACAACAAAAAAAACCCCACCACAAAACCAAACCATGTCAGCCACTTAGTAACAACTATGAACAGCCAGGCTGGGATGGGAATGAAACCCCAATTAGTCAGTGGGCTTCTAGTCAGAGTGACAGTATCAAATACATATCAAAGGACCACAAAAGAAAAATGCATGGGGCTGGAGAGATAGCTCAGTGACATAAGCACCTGCCTCACAAGCACAAGGTCCTGAGCTTGATCCCCAGTACCAAAAAAAGAAAAGAAAAAGAAAAAGAAAAATGCAGGGCCAGGGACATGGCTCAGTAGAATAAGCTCTTCCCTGGAAAGAGCAAGGGTCTGAGTTCAATCCCTGGTTCCAAAAAAAGAAAGGAAGGAAGGAAGGAAGGAAGGAAGGAAGGAAGGAAGGAAGGAAGGAAGATGTACACACAATAAATATATAGCTTGGATTGTATAGCAATACAATTTACAGGTTCAGGCTGGGGATATAGCTCAGTGGCATAAGCACCTGCCTGGCAAGTGCAAGGTCCGAAGTTCAATCCCTGGTACTGCCAAAAAAAAAAAAAAAAAAATTTACAGGTTCAACAAGGTACTACAAAAATGTCAAGGGTTGACCACGCATATTGGCACACATCTACAATCCCAGCACACCCTGAGAGGCTGAGGCAAGAGGATGGCAAGTTTGAGCCCAGCCTGGGATACACAATGAAGCAGTGAGACCCTGTCTCAAAGCCAAAAATCAAAAAAGGCCTAAGCATGTAGCTCAGTGTAAAGGTCCTGGGTGCACTCTCTGATATCACCAAAGAATAAGTATGTAAAATAAAACAACATGGAGCGACCATGTGACCCAGCAACTCCACTCCTAGGTGTACGCCCAACTGAAAACACATACATCACTTGTCTTCATATCCTAAAGTCCACTAATGAATAATCAGTGGATAACTGCAGTGCAGTCACATGTGTAGTGCTGGCAGTCACATAACACTAAGTTTTCTACAACCACTTGGAAAAGGGAATAGCAAAGCCTCAGACCCCCACTTACTTATTACTACAAAATAAATCATGATTCAGCCACAGAACATATTAGCCTGCAGTCACTGAAAAAAGACCTGTCCTTACAGGAATGGCACAATTTCTAGAAACGTGGAATATGCATTGAAAACCGAAAAGGGGGAAAAATCACTTAAGAAAGGACATAGTATTTATACAAGGGCTGATCAATGAAAGTGTCTAAATTTGAAATATGTATTACAGTAAAAGGCACATTGCCCTTAATCCTCTAATGCTCTCCCTCACTTGAAACACTTATCCCATCCTTCTTGCCACTTTCTGTCGCAGTTCTGGAAATCCTTTCAGGTCTTTACAAGCTTCTAATGGAAGAAATTAAGGAATTAATGATTTAGACAAAAACAAGTTGGGAAAGCAGGGACCAGCTGCCTGTAGAGGCCTCAAAGCCTTCTCCACAAAAAGTGTAATGAAGGGGCCAGGGAGATGGCTCAGTGGAATAAGCACTTCCCTGGCAAGTGCAAAGGCCTGAGTTCAAGCTCCGGTTCCACCAAAAAAAAAAAGTAATGAAAGTGAAAAGCATTATGAGCTCTGTAGCCAGAGTTACTTCGCCTTGTATTTATCACCCAAAACTGATTGTTTTAGTGTCATTTTTTCCAAGTAAACAAGAATCTAATTGAAGGACACCTGAAGTAATCCCCAGGGATGTTCATCACAACCCTTGGACTCTCAGAGCTACCTTACCTTGGGGCTGGCACTTTCCACTACCTGAGCTTGTAACTTACCAGTATTTTGATTTTATAATAATTCAAAATGAATCTTAGCTTCCAGACCACCCAGTAAGCTAAAATGTACTTCCTACTGCATCTCTGTGTTGTCTCAACATTAGTGTCATGTTCTCACCTTCAGGCTACCTGGCTTATCAAAGGGTAAGGGCAAGGGTGGGAAACAGTCTATGAAAACCCCCAAGTAGCAAGGTAGGACGACGCTGCGCGACTGTAATCCCAGCATTCTGGGGGACTGAGGCAGGAGGATCTCAAATGCAAACCCAGCCCGGGCAACTTAGTAAGACTCTCTCAAAAAAAGGAAAAAAGAAAAAGAAAACAGAAGAAAAGGAAAATGAAATCACGCCGAGACAGACGGGATGCCCGCACACTGCCAATCGCCCGATCGTGGACGCGGGTCGAGCAGTTCATACCGCGTTTCTGCGCAAACCAATCGCTCTGCCGAATGACTTGGGACGCGGCTCGGCCTCCCTCCCCGCAAACCCACAGCTACACATTCGGACTTCCCTAGTCTCCCTCAGCTGCAGGACCTCCGCTCCCGGGCACCTCCACCGCAGACTGCCGTCCTGCTAGCTCGGCCAGCCCGGGTTTCTCCAAAGTGATAACTCTGGGCAGGCGGCACGCGGGCGGGTGGGCGCGGACGCCTACCAAGAGACACCCTCATTCCTTCGGGGAGAACCGGGAAGTGGGCTAGGGCCCCGGGGAGGGGAGGCGCGGCGGGGAGAGGGGTCAGAATAGGTCGGAGCTCGGTCCTGGGGACCCCGCACCGCATCATGCGCAGGAGCCGGCCCGGGCCCGCGCCTAGGAAGGTGACCCTGGCCGCGGCGGAGGGGCTCACCGGTGACGTCCAGGTACAGGTCTTCGCGGGTCTCCGCGCGGCGGCTCCTCTTCCCCGTGCGCGCGGCAGCGGAGCAGCGCAGCGAGCAGGGGGGCGCGGCCCATCCCGGCCGCAGCTCGCCCTTCCGCTTCATGGAGGCGGTGGCGGCGCGTCAGGGTGCCGCCACCATGGCCCGCGCCGGCCCCGCCACACGCACGACGCTGCCGTCCCCGCCCCCGCGACCGCGGTTGTTGCGGACTGAGCGGCGCGGACCAATTCCACGCGTCGCTGTGCCCGGGACCCCAGGACGAGGCACTGCGGCGCTTCATTCACAAAAAAGGCCCGCGGCCCTCCCCGGCGCCCGGCGCCCGGCGCCAGTGATTGGTCAGAACTATGTGACGTCATGGGTACGGGGCCTCGCCACAGGCAGGTACTCGGTGACGCCATAAAGAAGTCGGAACACTTCGGCCAATCAGCGGCGAGATGTGTGCGCAACCCCCTCTACCGACCCGCCCCCGTCTCCCGGGCAACAGTCCAGCGCCCAAGTTCCCAACTTCCTTCGCAGTGTGTGGTCGGCCCCCGGCGCTCTGCGAGGGTCCTACAGAAATGTGACTGGGTTCTCCGTGGTATTCGCGCCAAACGAGAAACTCGCCAGAGCTGCCGGTATGCAAAGGAGCGCGGCCTGGGGGTTCCGTGCAGCCATACAGACTGAAACAGAGGCGGTCTCAGACTTTGCGACCGTGCAAACCTGCCGCTCCGGGTTCCCCGGCCTGCACCCCAGCACGCAGGGCTCCTAAAGGTCCAGCGCTGCCTTAACTCTGCGATCTCAAGCACCCGCGCTGTGTACATCTGGGACATCCGCGGGTGCGATTGAATGAAGGGGGACGTCTAGTCCTGGAACTTGTCTTGCGAATTGTAGGATCATATGCCTTTGTTTTTGTACTGGATTAAAACAATGTCTGATCTTTCTGGAATTCAACCACAACTGTCATTCTGAAGAGACTTTAAACAGATGCCCATGGTAGCTTCTAAAAGGGTTAAAAGATTGCAAAGGCAATCTTTAAACTCCGCGTTCCTAAATCTGCAAGATATTCCCAGTTTTCACCAGCAGCTGGACTATTCATGCTGAAGTCCTGCGATTCCTGCCAGTCTTAGGAAGAGAAGGAATTTGAGTCTGTCCCCTAGTAAGCCTTTTAGAAATGCAAATTTTCCAGACTTGCTTTGGGAGGGGCAGATTGACTTCTATTGTTTTGGACTTTCTCCTCCAACACTGCTTGAATGAAGAAGGAGGGGCCAGCGGACCGGCTCTTACTTGAGATTGGTACTATCCTGTCTTCGATCTTCCCTTTCTTCCCAGGTCAATGAAGGCCTTAAGTTAAAAATTGTGTGTCTTTGAGGGTAGCATAAGCAGTGGGAGACTTGGAGCGTGTGGGGAGCAGTGTAGATGATTCTTGGTGAGCAGAAACCTTGGGTCACAAGTGCTTTCTGTCTGACTGAAAAAAAGGAGGCCCTTCATACTGTTTAGAGAGATCACCCAGCACCTTAGACCATCAGAAAATCTAAGGTCTTGTTTTGAATACATATTACATGGCAGCTGTCCCAATGGCTCCCTAGAATTACAAAACTGGCCGGGGAGATAGCTCAGTAGAATAAGTGCTTGCCTGGCAAGCACAAGGTCTTGAGTTCAATACCCGGTACCACCAAAAAAAAAAAAAAAAAAGACTAGATAGAATTACAAAACTACAAGTGTCTCATGACTTTCGGTTTCTTGAGAGTGACATACTTAAATGTCACGCTTGAAGTGCCAGGTTCACTTAGAACAGTTTATTTTTCTCTCATCTTGCCGAGGAGATAATTTAGCGGCACAGCGTCTGCCTGGCAAGAGCAGGATCCTGAGTTCAGTTCCCCATACCAAAAATAAATAAAACTTTCTCTCAACTTCAAATAGTGTTTGGACTAAAATTTTAACATAATCCATGACTCAAATAAAAGAAAAACGTTGTAAATAATACCACTAAGCACTTTTATTTTGCTAAGTGTTTGGGCTCACACCTGTCATCCTGGCACTCCAGAGGCTCAGGCAGAGTATCGCCGCGCATTAGAGACCAGCCTGAGCTACACTGTGAGTCTGAGGCTAGCCTGAATTACAGAGCGGGGACTCCATCTCAAAAGACAAACCAAATCAATAACATTCTTATATTTTGCATGTATATAGTTTTCTTCAAATAACATCATTAAGAAATAAGAAATATGGGGCCGGGGAGATGGCTCAGTAGAATAAGCGCTTCCCTGGCAAGTGCAAGGGTCTGAGTTTGATTCCCAGTTCCCCAAAAAAAGAAAGAAAGAAAGAAAAAGAAATACTTATACTTTGTAATTATGCAGAGTCTACTTTCATTTTGGGGGAGTAAACTCCACACACTAACTATACATATTAAAGTTTTATTTGGTTTTTGTTTTTTGAGTTAGGTCTTGTTATGTAATGCAGGCTGATCTTGAACTCAGTAGATAGCCCAGGCTGGCCTGGAATTTGAAGTGATCCCTTTGCCTTTCAAATGCTGGGATTACAGGCATGTACCACCACACCTGGCCCTCATTAAACGTGGCAAAAAACTGCCACATATTTTTTAGCAGATATGTGTTCATGGGTGACTTATTTTTTTCTTTTGAGACAGGGTATCTCTATGTAGGTCATAAGTGCCAGGATGGTTCTAGTGGTCTAAGGCACCAGACTCAAGCTCTACTTCTATGTAGGTCATCCTGGCCTTGACCTTTAGGTATTCCTCTTGCCTCAGCCTCAGCAGGGAGGGGAGGGATCCTCTGACCTGAGATAAAGGAAGGCTGAGATTTTATGGACTTGCTACAGGTAGAGCTTGAGGGGTAGGTTTAGTGACTGGTAAGGAGCTGACTGGGGCCTCCCTTGTGTGCTCTCAAAAGGTATCCAGGAAGTGGTCACTGGGAAGATAAGCTGTTGTTTTTTTGGATTCAGCCATGTTGAATCAGGGCCATGATAATTTAGCAGTTTGTAAGTAGGCTGGAACCTGTCAGAGAACCTTAGACAATAATTGGTCTGAGACTGTCATTTCCAATTAGGACAAGGGACACCATTAGGCAACAGTTGCCAAGCTACAGTGAAAACCAAACACAGTCAAAAAGGCTCTGGCTTGTCCTTCCTGGAGCTGCCTAGACTTAGAGAACACATGTGTCTGTGATTCTCAACATTATAGGCAAGGCTGGGTATGTTGGAACACTCCTGTAATCCCAGCATTTGGGAGGCTGAGGCAGGAGGATCACCAAGAGTTTACAGCCAGCCTGGCCTACATGGTGAGACCTTCTCTCTTTCTGTTTCTCTCTCTCTCTCTCTCTCTCTCTCTCTCTCTCTCTCTCTCACACACACACACACACACACACACACGAGGCCAGAGAGATAGCTCAGTGGCATTTAGTACCTGCCTGGCAAGCACAGGGTCCTGAGTTCAATTCCCAGTACCGCCTCAAATAAAAAAGAAGAAAAAGAGGGGCCGGGGAGATGGCTCAGTAGGATAAGCGCTTGACTGGCAAACGCAAAGATCTGAGTTCAATCCCC